TAGATATTAGGGTATGTAAGTAAGGTAATTAATTATTTTGTTTTGATCACGTTATTAATTGCACATCCTTAAGATATGCGTACTCTTTAAGGGAGTTATTAATTAGTGGAGTTATTAATATGATAATTTCGTTTGGTAATCAGCATTTGTGGACCAAATTAAAAGTTTTTAAACTGAATTAGGAGTTTGATCCATCAGGATCTCTAATATTATTTTGGTATGAAATAATGAGAAATAGCTTGATGATATCAAAAGGCTAATTTTGTAAGAATTCACGAGGTTTTTTTCTTTTCTTTTTTTCTTTTTTTCTTTAAAGAATAGAGAATTGCAATATTAGTTATAGTTAAATATCACACAACTAATTATTTATCAGATAATTCCTTATAATCAAATAATCCAACCTGCCAGTAAAATTGATAATTCAATCAATTATCCACTGTATTTAGCTAATTCAACAATTGAGAACTACAACTTCTATCACATGTAATGTAAATTGGAAAATTGAAAATCAACCTTAAAATCACAATCTACTACAACTTGTCATCGGAAGCTATACAGGAGTAAAGATCAAATTTAATCATTTTCCCCCCAAATAATCTTATCAATTGAGACAATAAACTAAAATTGAAACTATGACTCATAAACACGACATTATTGCTGGATTAAATTCCAAAACCTACCGATTTGGTCCAATTTTTCTAATTCCATGGTGCCCGTTGACACTTCGATTTGTACTCTTTTTGAGTTTCTAAATTATTAATATATATGCCGTTTGAAAAAAAAAATAAAAAATATTGTGTTGCTTATATTAGGACCTCCATGAAAGGAGAACATTTGCAGCTATTTCGGCCCAAATTTATTGGTTGCGTTCAAATGTGATTATGTCAAATTTATATATGCTATCTAATATAATAGGTTATTTGAGATTTAAATTTTTTATATTGCAATCCAATATTTAAGAACATATATGTATGGATATATTATCCAAAAGACATCGTTCACCAACCTCAATTTGTAAGTATTTAAAAGTCGTGTGTTAAATTGTCAAAACGATAAAATTATGCTTAAATTGCAATTAAAGTGAATATCGTGATTTATTTGTAGTTAGGCCTTTATTTTTTACACTTGTGTTGTAGTGTATCGGGTAATTAATCATAATCTTGGGTTTATAAATCAATTTGCAACTCACAGCAATTTGGTGAATTGGCACCAGATTATATAAAATTTGTCCACTACGCTCAAGACCTAGATTTGTCGATCCAGATTGCACTTGTGCCGAAAAAAAAAGTTGTACCTAAGGGTACTCCACTAACAGCTTTGTTAGTAAAATAATTGAAATGTCATAATAATGTCCAAATATTTTAAGTTCTTTCTGGCATGTCACTAAATAAAACTTTAGTTGATGGTGCCATTGGCAGGGAGCCATGATAATGTCCAACTATAATTTCACTTTTTCTACTGCATTG